CGCAGGGACGTGGCGTGTGATGCGATCGACTAGGGTTCATAACCATCTTTAGCCGAACTCGCTTTTCTGCCTTTTCTCATCCATATCCGATATCACATATCACGGACGGACGGACGGACGGACAGATAGACAGATAGACAGATAGATAGATAGATAGATAGATAGATAGATAGATAGATAGATAGGCCACTGGTTGACACTGTACTCTTAAAAATAAAGCTTCGTTTTTGGTATCAGTGGTTCCATGAAGAACCTTTAACATTGATGAAACAAAAGATTGTACATAATGGAAAAAGGTTCTTCAGATTATTAAAATATTCTTTAAACTAAGAAAAAAATAGTTTTTAAAGAACTGTTCACTTAACGGTTCTTTGGGAAACCAAAAATTGGTTCTTCTTTGGCATTGCTGTGAAAACCCCTTCTGGAATCTTTATTTTTAAGAATGTAGTTGAGCAAAAACACTTCACCTTTAAACCTTTTAAACTCACCCTCATTTAAGAACATGCGTTCTTGCCCATTTTCCTTAACACTAGTTTCCCCACCAGTGAAGGTTTATCTTATTTTCCTCTTCCCAGATGCACCCTCTATTTTTTACATATCCTTTTTTTCTTTCAAACCCAATTTCAGAGTGTATGTGGAGACAGCAGTGGCTTCAGAACTGGTCGATCATGTTTTCCCATTAATTTGGCAGAGCTGGAGATGCCTTCCGATTACAGGATGAATAATAATCAGATTGCCACATTTTCCCTCCCGTCCTCTCTCTGTCTCTCGTCTGTGGTTTAATTCACATGTATTAAGGAAATATCGTCTCTTGCGATGAAGACTTAGAAACGTGACGCTGTCATTCTTGACTTAATAAACAAACAAGTCAAGTCCTGTTTTCAGCGGGACGTCCACAAGGCAATGCTCCAGTGGCGTTACATGGATTTAAACTGAAGATTAAATGCAAACTGGCATGTCTAAGCTGTTTTTCTAACCTCCAATGAATTTTCTGTCCTTGTTTCTTTGCCTTTGAGATGAGATGATGCAGCTGAAGTTTCACTTTATAATGGTCATTTCTACAGTGGCAGCTTAGACAAAGCTGGGTTCAAAACTGCAAAGTCACCGTGATCTAAATGGGCTTTGTTTGGACACCAAAAAAGTCAGTGGTTCTTGAATTTGCAAATTATGCCGCCGCTTTGCTACAGTGGTTGCTAGGGCATTTCTATGCAGTTGCTAAGGAGTTGTGACTAGCTGGCATTGTTCTTAGTCATAACCTATTCCTAAACTTTTGTCTATACACTAAAAATATTCTGTTAAATTTACAGGAAAAAATGGGAACTGTGTTTTCCAGAAATTCTTAGTAAAAAAATCTGGTGACAATATCCAGTATTACGGGATGGCATATTGGTACCTATATTTTGAGATTTGAACTTTTCACTTTGTATTCTTTTTTTTTTCTTTTTTTAAATTAAATTATTAAAATGTAGTGCATAATAGCACCATTTGTTCATTGGCCTAGGGTTAATATTTTTAACTAAAACTATTAAAAATATTTTTTGTCAATTGAAATGAAATAAAATAAAATATAAATAGACCACAAAATTCAACTAAACAAAGCTTTACAGTAATAAAAACATTTTTTAACAAAGAAAGCTAAAAATAAAATATAAATAAACAAAATGAAAAAATAAGCTAAACAAAATTAACTTAAATGAGTTTAACCTGAATCACCAAAATTATGGAAATAAACTAAAAATGAAATAAAAACAAATTAAACCTAAATATTAAATAAATAAATAATCCGATATTATGTGATGGCATATTGGTGCCTGTATATTTTACTACTTATAACTTAGAATATTTTATTAAGTGATGTAATATATCATATAATATTATTATTATACCTTAAAATAATACCTTAAAAACCCTAATGCACATTACTGATAACAAAAATGAGAAGAAGCAAAATTATGTCATGTGTGAATTATAATTATATCTGATGTGTCACATAGGGACATGATATAGTATTATATGAAATTATATAGTCATTCGTATAGTTTTATTTGCCAAAAAAATAATAATTTGACAGTATTTTTACTGTAAAATTACATATAATGTGATGTTAAAGTTAAACCATTTACAATTTTTCACTGTATATATGGTAATGTGACTAATTTCATGTGCAGTTTTTATAGTCTTTTATATGTGAATCATATCTCATGTGTCATGTAAGGAAATGTCCTTTTCCTGTTTTCACCATAAAGAAAGAAAAAAAGAAAGAAAGAAAGAAAGGTATTTTACCATAAAATTATGTGTAATGCAATGTTAAACCATTTACAGTTTTCATGGTATATATCGTTTTCTGTAAAAATTACAAACATTTTTACAGTGTATGGGTTCAAGTCCTTTCTCAAGTCCGTCGTCTGCCAAGTGAAGCTTAGAAGTACGATCAATTTGAAAATTATTTCTCAACAAGCTTCAGTGATTTGACGCATCCCACAACCCACAAAACCATAAGTGTGAGCAATAGTGAAATGTGACTTAGTGAACACAACTAATCAACTGTGTGCAATCACTGATTGTGAAGTGAAAGAAAAAGCACAAAACTGAAGATTTGTAACCGATTTTCCATCATAAGAGAACTAAAAACCATGCATTTCTATACAGATTTAAATCAAAGTGTCAAAACAAAGTAATTTAAGATCTACCCAAATGATGCTCTTCATACATAAGAATATATAACAAGCATTTCATAAACACGACTTGCAGCCGTTGAGGGGTTTTCTACAGTCTCCATAGTGAGGTGACATGCTTTCCCCTACAGCTCAGCGGAGGCATTTTCAGAAATCAAAGTGTCAAAACAAAGTAATTTAAGATCTACCCAAATGATGCTCTTCATACATAAGAATATATAACAAGCGTTTCATAAACACGACTTGCAGCCGTTGAGGGGTTTTCTACAGTCTCCATAGTGAGGTGACATGCTTCCCCCTACAGCTCAGCGGAGGCATTTTCAGCTCCAGCATGCACACACCTTGATCCTGTCTCCCTGACGCTGCCTTTCACACAAACACACACATTCATAAATCCAGAATCGATAAGTGTGTTATGATGTAATTTAATTCATACCACACCATAAGCGACTGTACAAACTGACGCAATAAAGAAATGTTGACAAAGTGCTATCTAATAAGAGACTGTGTTTCCAAAGTAATGCCATCATCTAGCACAAATCCAGCTCCAATTACAATTTAATGAATCAGCCCACATTAGAGAGAATAAGACGCATTTATCACAAAGCGCGCTGCAGAGATTGCAAGTCTAGTAGTAGCATTAAAGATTCAAACAGGGATCGGGCTAAATGAATCTTGTTGTCTTGCACAGTTTTGTTTTATAACTAGAGTTTCATCATTTTGTGGGTTTCCTGTTTTCTCTGTTCTCCCAAAAGGACAGACCTAAATAAACGTGGCATCAGCCAATCACAGTTTGACACTGAACGCAGAAGTATTGTCTTGGGAAAGTCACACATAGTTTATGAAATGACATCTAAAAGATTGTTTGCATGTGTTATCAGCAGCGTTTGCTAATGCAAGCATCACAATTATTATTGCTCACACTTAGGATTGAGTTTTGAACTAATTAATAACCTAATAATTTATTACAATTATTCAAATTAAAGAATTCAAATTTAGTGCACATGAGCACAATTTGTGCAACAGCATAGGATTATCATTGTTAACTATATATACATACATACATACATACATATATATTTATATATATATGTGTGTGTGTGTGTGTGTGTGTGTGTGTGTGTGTGTGTGTGTGTGTTGTTAACTGAAATAAAATCTAAATATTAGATGCAAAAAGTTAAACTAAACAAGACTTTACAGTATTAAAACATTTTTGTTAATTGAAACATAGCTGAAATAAACTATCAGTATTATATATAAAAATAAAATAAAACAGAACTTAACTGTACTTTTAAGTTTAACTTAAGTTAACTTAAGATTCATCAAAATTACTAACTGGAACTAAACTAAAACTGAACTAAAACTAAAATAATGAAATTAAACTACACAACTTTTTAGTATTTTAGTATTTTAACTTTGAAACAAAGCTAACATTTTTTTTCTTTTAGCTATGCTGCAACTTAGTAACTGAAATAAGTTTAAGTTGAATCATCAAAATTACTAAAATGGAAATAAATAAACCTAAACTGAACTAAAACAAAGTAAAATAAAAATAAATTCAATCAAAATAGTAATAAAATAATGGAATATAAATATTACATGACAAAATTAAACTAAACAAGCTTAACTATATTAAATATTATATTTTTGTTCATTGAAATAAAGCTGAAATAAACTAAAATAAAATATTACATAAAAATACTTAAGCTGAATCACCATAATTAATAACTGAAAATCAAATAAATCTGAACTAAATAACTAAAACTAAACTATAACTGAGAAAAAATAAATAAATTAAACCTAAACAGTAAAATAAATAAATAAATAAAATGAATTCATTAATTAAAAACTAAAACAGAAAATATTAAAATTACTTCTAAATATTAAATACATATTAAATATAAAAATGTAATCATGCATCTTGGTCGAAAGGTGTGCTGTTACTCATGTAAGCCAAAACATGCAAAAAAAAATCCCTTTAAGTTAGATTGCAGGATACACCAGAGTTATACAGTATCAACAGACCATAATACTTTGTGCTCTTTTGAATTAGTCCAGTAAGAAATGACCCAAAAACCCTAACAATGCCATAGCAACCAATGCTACCACTGTAGCATCACAGAGGTGAGTTTTGCACATGTAAGCATTGCTTTTGACAAAAGATTAAAATAATGTACTTTATTTAGATACCAACAATAATCCAACAAATACACACCATTAACAATAAATATACTACTATAAAAACTTCAGAGCACAAGCGTGAATCTTTCACTGAGCTGGACTACAATTTTCCCCTCAGCAACCCTCTGTAATTCTGTCTTTTACCTTCTCCTCTATATTTGTGAAGTACTTCATTTGGGCCAGGAGCTCTTTGGCGGTCAGCAGATCCCCTGTGAAAAGAGACTCGTGAGGCAAACACAAAAACAGCTGTTTGCCACTCGCATGCCATGGAAATGTGCGTGCAACCAGCCTTGGCGCTGAATTTCTGTCAAATTTGGGAGGTTGTGAGGAGGAGACAGAGAGAAAAATACCTTTGTTCAGAGATGAATTCATCCGTTCAGTCAAGTCTTTCAGTTTCTCTGATCAAAGGAAGTAAAATACAGTATATCAACAGCACGAATAAGAAAACATAAAACCACAGGACCTTGAACTTTCTGATGGAATGAATCTAGGGCCACAAACGGTCACATCAATAAGCTGCGAGCGACATGAGTGGGTGCAGAGCAATATTTCAACAATCACTTCCGGTTGGAGCTTTTCTTTCAGGCCTACACACCTCGCACAGACCGCCCGATAGCGCTGACCTCATCTTGGCTCCGCGTCTCTGCGAGGCTCTCATTGATCTCCAGGACCTCTAGGAGAAACGCGGGGTCCGCGGCGGCATCCGTTCCTTCCTCCAGCAAAACCCCTCGCAGCTCCAGTTGCAGCAGAACATGCAGGTTACACAGGGTAAGCAGCTACTAAAACAGAACTCTGTAACATTCAGTAGATCAGTTAAAGTGCCTATTTTTAAGTTAGCGCCCACAGATAAACTCAACCTATTTTTCTATACATGTCAAAGTGTAAAAATACAGAACATGGCAACAGCTGATATTACTGTATATATACTGTAAAGCGGTTGCAAAATCTATTTGGGCACTTAAACATTTCTGAATGTTACTTTATTTGATTCTAGATTGCTAAATCATTTGCACTGCAAGAGCTCACTTCATTTTTCTTCAATTTTAGCTGAATGTATTTTAATAATCTGGTGTGAATGTGATTTTTAAAAATGTTTTTCTATTTTAATATATTTAAAATTGTATTTATTTATTTATATCTTTTATTTTATTTTTGTATTGTGCATTTTATTTCTTTTATATATTTTATTTATTTCTGTAATGCAAAGCTGAATTTTCAGCATTATTACTCCAGTTTTCAGTGTCACATGATCCTTCAGAAACCATTATAATATGCTCATTTGGTCCTTATTATTACTTTTTTTTTTTTCAAGGTTGAAAGCAGTTTTCCTGCTAAAATTTTTGTGGAATATTTTTGTTGATACACTACCATTCAAAAGTTTGGAGTAAGTCAAATTAAAAAAATAAATAAATACAATTTTGGATGCATTAAATTTATTAAAAGTTACAGTAAACACCTTTATAATGTTACAAAAGATTTCTATTTTAAATAAATGTACTTCTTTGTGGAATGTCTTTTTACTGTTTTGTACTGTAAAGTATGTGGTAATTCAGATTGTATTTGCTAAAAAACATAATTTTGACAATATTTCATAGTAAAATTACATTTAATGCATGTTAAGCCTTCTGCAATTCAAATTTTAACTGTATGTTAACTTACAATCCAAAAAAATGCTGGGTGTTTTGACCCAGCGCTTGGGTTAAATGTTTTTACCCAGCCTTTTGGGTAGTTTTATTTAATTCTATTGTTCAAAAATTACTATATGGCTGTCTTAAAATGAACCCAAAATATGTTGTAAATTAAAAATCAGACACATAATTACTAGAGGCATCAGCAATAATCAAAACATGAACATTTATTAATAAGCAATTTAAAAAATAATATTATTTAATTACTATTTATTCAACTTATGAATAATTGTTCATTTCCAACCTAATTTGGGTTCATTTTAAGCAAGAAATATAGCAATTTTTAAGCAATAGTTGAGTTAAATATAACTACCCAGAAGGCTGGGTTAAACATTTAACCCAACCGCTGGGTCAAAACAACCCAATTGGAGCATGTTTTTAGCCCAGCATTTTTTAGATTGCAAGTTAACTTACCATATACAGTTAAAATTTGATAAAGGCTGGGTTAAACATTTAACCCAACCGCTGGGTCAAAACAACCCAATTGGAGCATGTTTTTAGCCCAGCATTTTTTAGATTGCAAGTTAACTTACCATATACAGTTAAAATTTGATTTGTAAAAGTTTTAAGACATGTAGAGTTAATGTGGAGTGTAGTTAAAAGGTTTTTACTTCATTTTTCGTAAAAAAAAAATGTTGTTTTTTTCCTGACATTTTTAGTCTTGTTTTATTATTTAAAAACATATTTTAACTTACCATATACAGTTAAAATTTGATTTGTAAAAGTTTTAAGACATGTAGAGTTAATGTGGAGTGTAGTTAAAAGGTTTTTACTTCATTTTTCGTAAAAAAAAAAATGTTGTTTTTTTCCTGACATTTTTAGTCTTGTTTTATTATTTCAAAACATATTTTTGTGAAATGTCCTACTTGAATGTGTTGGTGCTTCTTTCTTTAAAAGTACATGGTACTTCATTTGATATTCTGTCTGATATATAATGCACATACTGTCTTTAAATTTTAGTGTGGCTTATGCGTCCAAAGTTTTCTGGGGTCACTGTATAAAACCTACAGCTGCCATATGCACAACTAAACAAATAATTACCATGTAGACGGCCCGACTCAGAGGTTTCTGCAGCGTTCTGTAGGCACTGTTCACCAGAGCTGATTGTTCTTCTGAATATTCCTGCTCTTTCTGTAAATAGGATCAGACCACAAAGTCATTCCAAATTAAAGTCATTCTTCTTACAGGCTACAAAAACAATTTCAACAGCCCCTAAAGGCACAAATCGCACAAAGCTCCAAAGCATAAAGCAACCTGAAGAATACTGTGATTGTGGTTTTATGAAGTAACAAAAGAAGTGTTATACAAAAAGAGTCTTACTCTGCCCAAGTTTTCTAACTTTTCCAAACGTTATATAATTACGTACTGTCGTCACATTTATTTTAAGATATCATGACATGTTCTTTGTTTGTGGTAAGGAATTCCTCTTGGGAATGAGCAGAATTGTCAAAAAAAATGAAACCCCAGCAATGCTGATAATTGCGTCGGGTTTTTTTCCCTGAAGGATCTGGCTGTGTGGGTGGACGCAGAGGGTCTGAGCTATGATGGGAGGTGTCAGGTGGAATAAGAGGTGAGAAAGCACAGAAATGACTTGCAGAGGAGAAACATTTTCAGTTGTCAAAGTTGCCAAAGCCTAGAGAATCAACATCTGGCTTGCTGTTGCTGTCAGGAAACCCAACTGGTCTCGCAAAGCATGAACCAATCACCAAAGAACTGTCTGCTGTCTTATAGGAACGATGATAAGCTGCATACCCTTTACCTGAGCATCTAAATAGATATGGACAAGGGATACTGAGAGTGTGCTACTGCAATTTTGATATATAATGCAAAGCAAAAGGGTTAGAAGGTGAATCTGAAATAACAAAACGGTCAAGAATATGTAACACTGAGTCACATGTCACAACAAAATAAAAAATAAAAATTATAAATATTATTTATAAATAATATAAATAGTTTCATCATAGTGGTCATTATTAATTGTATGCCAATTTAAATAATTAAAAATGTATTTAAAAATAACGGAAATTACAAAAAAGCATATGTGTTTTTGTGTGTGTGTGTGTGTGTGTGTGTGTACAATGCAGTAAAAAGATGTAAAACATTAATACTGTGAAATTTTATAACAATTCAAATTAGCTGTTTTCTATTTTATTATACGTTTTAAAATGTAATTTATTTCTGTGACTGCAAAGTTTGGTTTTTGGCAGAATTTTCAATAAATATTCAATTATTATCAACGTTGAAAACAGTAGTTTAATATTTCTGTGTGAATTGCGATACATTTTTTTAATCAGGGTTCAAAGTTTTGTAATTTATTTGTTATAGAAATCTTTTGTAGCATCATAAATATCTTTACTGAAAATTTTGATCAACTGAATGAGCCCTTGCGTTAAATAAATAAATAATATTAATTTTAAAAAACCTTACTGGTCCCAAACTTTCAAGCAATAAAATGTCTGTGTAGGCCTATATGTGTGTGTGCGTGTGTGTGTGTGTGTGTGTGTTATACCTAAATATGCTTTCATGAAATTCACCCTGGAAGACAAAACCTTGGGTAACAAACTTACATACTTTCTATCTTTATTCTTCTGTATATTGTTGGTAACTAACAATGAAGTTTGTAATACAAACTATTATTAACTTAGAAAAATGTGCAAAAAATATATAAAACAAGAACTAGTGCTCTTAAAGATTTACAGTTTAGCCATAATATTTTGCTATCCCTTTAATTTACCATTTGAACTCATATTATAGATGAAAACGAAAGTCCATCAAGTAAATCACTAATATTTGCTCATAACTGGTATGGCCACCATATACTTTGCATTCCTACAGTATCTTTCAGCGCCGTTATGAGATATAAAACCAAACCAATAAACTGCATCTCAAAATAAATGCTCGTCCACTCAACATCACACTGTTAATAGTGCTGTGTGAAGTATGGAATATAACCAATTTTGTTTAATATAGTCCATTACCGATGATTTCTGGCTGAAGTTGTCAGGATGGAGAGATCTTTGCAGCTCCACATATCTTTTCTGAAGTTTCTGGGTGTCCAAAGAAAATTTTTGTTCACTGAGGAAAGATCAACATATTCAGTTACATATATGCTATAATGTGATTATGAATTATGAAGTTGAAAGCTGAAAGATATATAGTACAACTGTATCTGTCTGATCATGTAACAACTACTGTATCATATATACTGTATATATTAACAATGGTCTGGCTTTTAAGTAAATAAAGTAAGGAAGGAATACAACTTTTTGGAAGCTCAGGACCAAGAAGCCAGAAAATATCATCCGTGAATCCATAAATGATGCGTTCATAACAATAACAGCGATCTTTAAACTATACCTCCACTTAACTCACCAGTTCAAGATGTCAAAATAATTCGTCTTGTCATCAGGAGGTTGGATCACGTTACAGGATGAACAGAAAAATAATTCAGCAGAAGATCCGCATTTCCAGCAGAGTCTGTTGACTGTGCCAGTGCTGAACGAGTTCAGAGACAAGTGTCCTTTAACTGCTTTACAGTGAAAAACACCGTTAATGTCTTTCCTGTAAGAGCTGACAGCTCTTCCTGAAGCGAAACACGGAAGTAAGACGAAGTTAAGAAGTTGTCCGTTTGATATACATTTGTTTGCATGTTTAAATCCGTGAGGTGCTAACAAAAATCGGAGTTTGTATAGCGTTATCATGGTCACCCACAGAACAAAATCGGGTTTATGGAATGTTAGCGCGCTACTTCCTGTCAGGAACACCAGAAATGTTGTCAAAATAAAAGTTTTATTTTTAAAACACTTCAACGTATTTATTTGACTTTTTATTGGTTTGTGGTTATCAATGAATAATGGCTGCAATTACTAGAGTGAGACAGGGTCTATTATTGTTTGCTATCGAGGAACTTTATAACAACAAAAATATGCTTTAAATAAGTAAAACACAACATTAACCCAAAGTTAACTATATTTGTACGAAACAGTTACTTTCCCTCCCACATTAAAAATAGTAAAAAATAAAAATAAAAAAATGTTTGTACCCTGTGTGTTTTACAACGGAAGTTATTGCGTTTATTTTTCTGAATGTTATCTATTTACTACACTTGTATGTGTTCTTAATTTTAACAGCAATTAATGATAAATGCTATATTGCGAATTGCTGTTGATAATGTAATAATAATAATAATAATCCTTAAAATAACTAACAGCATAAAAAAATGTATGTATATCTACATATATAATAAATTAACATGGAATGTTTTATAAACTACATTTCCCATGAGCCTCTACTCAGGCTTCTGATTGGCTGAATGATGTAATGGGAAGTTCATTGATGGAAACGAGTGGCTTTTCCCGGCAGATTTGACGAGCAGCTCACGCGGCCTGATAACCCACTTCTGCAAGTTTGCTACTTTTAAAAACAGCACTTGGTTAAGGTATGCAATAGGATATGATATTGAAAAGCACCATTAGATGATCTGACGGACATGTGGATTTCTATCAATGATTATTTCTGATGAAAAAAGCAACAACCCGTTTCCTCGATCGTTAAAAGTGCAGCTGTGCTTTGCAAAAATAGCAAAAGAAAATAGACATGCCTTATCTAATCTATTTGGTTCTTCAGTCTGTTTTCTTATCAAGTTTCATTTGATTGCATTGGTGTCTGTGGTGCATGAAATTAGTCCGACCTAAATGCCCTCAGAAACTGAACTTGGAAAGGTCACATGATGTAAAAGCAAATAATTTTCTTTCAAAGCACATGATTTATGCACATATGTCAATTATGTGTCAGTAATTTCTCCTGGAATTTAATAATATCATATAAGAATTGTTTACTATACTGCAAATATAAAGAAAAGTTTTTTCCAAGTGGATTTATAAAGAATCGCACCGTTAATCTCTTGTTTTTAATAAGCCCATTAAAAATAGATTTTAAAACGAGTGAATTTGTTGTACTCATATTCTCTTATTTAGTCTTCCATTCATTCATTTTATCCATTTACATTATTTTTTGATTGTAGGGTCAAAATTATAGGAGCTATGAGATGCTAGACATTAAGGTCTGGATTCACAGACAGGGTTTAGACTAAGCCAGGATTAGGCCATAGTTCAATTGGGACATTTAAGTCATTTTTTATAAATGTGCCTTACAAAAAACATTACTGGTGGCCCTCTTGAGACAAAACAAAGGCATTGATATATTTTAAGATCAATCAGTGCAAGTTTCTTTCAGTTGAAACAGCTCAGACTTACATTTTAGTCTGGGACTAGGTTTAAGCTTTGTCTGTGAAACCGGGGGTATAGGACCCAAAATTCAGCAAAAAAATTATGTGCAAAAAAAAAAAACTGTTACATGCTAAAAGATGCAATTAAAACGTATGACGATGCATTAAAAATCCTCTGGTAAATGGAATTAGCGTAGGTATAATATAAATATAAAACATAAAATATGACATAATACTTTTAAAGCCATGAAGCACTGCAAAAACTCTTGGATACAGTTTTCAAAATAGCATAGCATGTACTGTATGCAGTGCACTTTGCTGTCACGAGAAAGCCTGGAAATATCAGGAATATTTTAAAAGCATAATTCTAGGCCTAAAAAAATCGTGACAATTTCTGTAGTGAGCAGGTTTGAAACTACAATATTTAATTGGCAAAAATTATAAATGTATTTTTCCTTGCACAAACAACTAGAAATCACATGCAACACGTTGACAATGTAACATGCATACTGCTGTTTGAAACATTAATCATTATAGTGTATACTGTGCAAAATTATGTGAGCTGTAAGATGACGTTTTGGGCTTTATACAGCTATTGACTGTTGTTGATATTTTGTTAATTTTTCAGTGTGTACCTCCAGAGTAAAAAACATCATGTCTGAGGAACCTGGACCCAGTGGTCAGTCCCAATCCCACAGTCAATCCCAGACCCAGTCCCAAACACAATCCCAGCCTGGATCCAGCTCCTCGTCCGCCCCAACATCATCAAGCCAGGGCTCTTCCTCAGGCTCAGGGACTCTAAGTTCTGTAGATACAGTACCGGTCCAGGAACTGCAGTCTATTCCTGAAGACGAGGAGGAAGTCCAGCCTCAGGTGTGGGGCCGCATCATCCCCTTGGTGCATGGATTGAGTGTGCTCAGTTAAGTGTATTATCTTCCTTGATTTAAGAAAGTAAGTGACAAGATACTGTTTGTGCAAGGTGTCCCAATAAGGACATGACATAGCGATTCGTAACTACACTGTTTACTTGGTGCAAACTACACCTATCAGTAATTCAAAACCAGAAGTTTATCTGCTTAGCAAAGCATTCCCACCTTTAAAAGAGCTTAAGTGCTTTAAATTACATTTTAGCCTCCCATTTCTGATTATACACACCCTTAAACACTTACATTTTAGGTTAAATTTTAGTTGTTGTTTTTGTGACATTATGCCACAAATACTGTCATTAGAGCTTGCATTAAAAAAAAAAACAGTTATGAGATTGTTGAGCTATTATTGTATAACAGGAATATGGCTGGTGTTGTTTTAGTATTATTTACTATTATAGCATTTATTGATATTTTTGAATTAGCTTTTATTTTTGTATTTTCCGCTTTCACTTTAGTGTAAGTAATATTATTATGTGCTTTTGTCATTTTTATTAGTTTTTGTTTTAAATCTATTTAGCTTTAATTGTTTTTTTTATAATTATTAGTTCTTCAGCTTAAACTGCTTTTATTTCAGTTAGTAGTCAACAAGTAGGCAACATTTCTCATTTTTATGTAGGTTTTGTAAGTTTAGGTTTTCATCTAATATTTTTTATTTTTATTTCAAGTTTATTTCAACCAACGAAAATCATATTTAACAGGTTTATTTAACAATAACAGTACTCAATATGGCTTTTTTTTATGTTTTCCAGATTGTGTCGAAAACCAGTATGTCTTTGGAAGGGACGGCGCATGCGATTACACTTTCACCAACCCCATTGTAACACAGTCGACACATTTCAAGGCGTACAGCAAGAAGCACTTTAGGATTTTTAGGGTAAGACCAACATTGAGTTGCTCTTCCTAAAACTAGTTTTTAATCAAATAAAACATCAAATGATTTCTTTTTGTAACTTTTTGTAAAAAAAAAAAAAAGTTTTCATTTTAAACCTTGTTATGAGGCAATGTCACTCTCTGAACACATTAATCATGGCTGACTGAAAAGCATATTTCTACATCAGGTCTAACTCAACACTTGGCCTGTTTTACTTTTACTTCTGTTCCAGGATGAGAATCTCGTCTACGTCGAGGACCTCAGTGGTAACGGCACATATGTGGACGACGAGAAAATAGGAAACGGGAAGCAAAGACTTCTTAGCAATAACTCTGTTATTGCCCTTGCAGAACAAAAACATCAAGGTTAGTCATCTAGGTGAAATTTTTTCAAGAGTTTCTGAAATGTAAACTACAGTTCATACAATAAATCACCATTGTGACGTTATTTTTGCATTCAAATGAAAGAGTATAGTGTCTAGCGTAGGGCTGGGCAATATAGCTAAAAAATGTATCAACGATATATTGTTTCATATCGTTCGGTATCGATAATTATTGACATTTTTTATAACCCTTTTTAAAACAAAGAGCAATCGACATTTTTTTATTATTATTATTTAACCACTGTATTTTTAATTTACCCAATTTATTAAGACTGGAAACTTTTGGCTTGTCTCCGGAGGCCACAGGAGGGCGCAATGAGCAAAATAAGGCAGTGTATTAAATTGTCAATGCAATGAAATAACTGTCCATAAAAAAACGTGCATAACGTCTAAATTAACATGTATAAATCAAATATAATTTCGTAAATTGCATAAACAATTATATGGAAGTCCTAAGAGGCCATGGATTATTAATTTTTTTTCTTTCTTCTTTTGTCGTGATAACGACGTCATTATCTGGTGATCTCGACATAACGAAAGTTGTTTTCTCGTTATCAGCCTACATTAAAATCTGTCATATAAACTGGTCTCTTCATTAGAAATGAGCCTACTGATTGCCACCATTGATGGACAAAATTTTTTAATAATATTAAAAATATCTGTATGACATTATATTCTGCCGTTCTTCCCTGTTGTACTGAATATCTATACTTTTCAAATGATCATATTGAAGTTAGAAATTCAAATATTGTGACAAAATTAATTTTGTAGGGTGCCACAAGTTTGTTAAAATTTCCAAAGGGTGCCGCGACTAAAAAAAGGTTGGGAAACACTGCTCTAAGTTACAAAACTGTGCCAGCAGGTGGCACTATAGACCTGAATATAACTGATGGGGTGTTGTATACTGTATATCCACTTTACTGTACGCCTTTGGGACAGAATAAGGACCTTCTTCGTGATTGCTATAATTTGTGCAGTATTGTACATTACTGACATTTAATTCATTCATAAATGTTAAATGCTTGAATCAATATGATTATTTTGTCTATCGTTAAGTTCTTGCTAGATGCGTGACTCATCACAGTTTCACCACCGCATAGCGTTCCGTGTCATAAACGAACTGCTTATTAAAACCTGTTGACGTCACTGTATTCTGTTTGCACCTCTATCTTTATTTGTGCATCTCTGAAGTAGGCCTACATGATTGCTAGTTAATAAGCGGGGATGTTGTGTTTATCTAGGATGCGCTTCAATGACATATTTGTAATGTGCATCTTTTCCTTATTTTTTGTTAATCATTAAATGTATATTGATAAGAAATGTGATTTATATATGTAAA